ATAAATTCTTAGACTCTTACAAGCTCCCAAAGCTGAATAAAGAAGAATATAATAAAGATTCTGAACAGACCAATCACAAGGAAAGAGATTGAAACAGTAATCAAAAGCATCCCAAAGAATAAAAGACCAGGACCAAACGGCTTCCCTGGGGAATTCTACCAAACTTTCAGAGAGGATTTAATACCTATCCTTCTCAAGCTATTCCAAAAAATTAGGGAATATGGAACACTTCCTAACACATTCTACGAGGCCAACATCACTGATACCAAAGCCTGACAAGGACAACACAGAAAAGGAAAACTACAGCCTAATATTGCTCATGAACATAGATGCAAAAACCCTCAACAAAATTTTGGCAACCAGATCATACAGCACGATCAAGTGGGATTTATTTTAGGGGCACAGGGATGGTTCAATATCCGCAAATCAATCAACGTGATACACCACATCAACAAGTTGAGGAATAAAAACCACATGATCATCTCAGTAGATGCAGAGAAAGCATTTGACAAGCTCCAACAGCCATTTATGATAAAAACTCTGAACAAAATGGGCATAGAAGGGAACTACCTGAACATAATAAAGGCCGTATATGACAAACCCACAGCCAACATCATACTCAATGGGCAAAAACTGAATGCCATCCCTCTGAGAACAGGAACGAGAAAAGGATGCCCTCTATCACCACTCTTATTCAACACAGTACTGGAGGTTTTGGCCACAGCAATTAGGCAAGAGAAAGGAATAAAAAGAATCCAAATAGGGAGTGAAGAAGTGAAACTCTCTATGTTTGCAGACGACATGATCTTATATCTAGAAAACCCTAAAGAACCCATCGGAAAACTATTAGAAATAATTAACAACTACAGTAAAGTTGCAGGGTACAAAATCAACTTACAAAACTCAGTTGCTTTTCTATACTCTAATAACAAACTTAGAGAAAGAGAACTCAAGAATATAATTCAATTTACAATCCCAACTAAAAGAATAAAGTACTCAGGAATAAACTTAACGAAGGAGGTGAAGGACTTATACAATGAAAACTATAAGACATTACTGAAAGAAAGTGATAATGACAAAGAGATGGAAAGAGATCCCATGCACATGGATTGGAAGAATAAACATAGTTAAAATGTCTGTACTACCCAAAGTAATCTACAGATTCAATGCAATCCCAATCAGAATCCCAATGACATTCTTCGTGGAAATAGAACAAAGAATCCTAAAATTCATATGGGGCAACCAAAGACCCCCAAATTGCTAAGGCAATCCTGAGAAAAAAAAAGCAAACCTGGAGGTATCACAATCCCTGACTTCAAAATGTACTACAAAGCCATAGTGATTAAAATGGCATGGTACTGGTACAAAAACAGGCACACAGATCAATGGAACCGAACTGAAAGCCCAGAAATAAAACCGCACATCTACGGACAGTTAATCTTTGACAAAGGTGCCAAGAACATATAATGGAGTAAAGATAGTCTCTTCAATAAATGGTGTTGGGAAAACCGGACAGCCACATGCAAAAGAGTGAAAGTAGACTGTTGTCTCAAGCCATACACAAAAATAAGCTCAAAATGGATCAAAGACTTGATGATAAGTCCTGAAACCATAAAACTCGTGGAAGATAATGTAGGTAGTACACTCTTTGACATGGAACTTAAAAGGATCTTTTCCAATACCATGTCTTCTCAGAGAAGGGAAACAAAAGAAAAGATAAACAAGTGGGAGTTCATCAGACTAAAGAGCTTCTGCAGGGAAACTAAGATCAAAACAAAGAGACAACCCACCAATGGGGAGAAAATATTTGCAAATCATATGTCTGACAAGCGGTTAATCTCCATAATATGTAAGGAACTCACACAACTGAACAATAAAAAACAAACAGCCTGATCAAAAACTGGGCAGAGGATGTGAACAGACATTTTTCCAAAGAAGATATGCAGATGGCCAATAAACACATGAGAAGATGTTCAACATCACTAATCATCAGGGAAATGCAAATCAAAACTACACTAAGATACCACCTTACGCCTGTTAAAATCACTAAGACTAAAAATAACAAATGTTAGAGAGGGTGTGGAGAAAAGGGGACCCTCATATGCTGCTGGTGGGAATGCAAACTGGTGCAGCCACTATGGAAAACATTATGGAGATTTCTCAGAAAACTAAAAATAGAAATACCATATGACCCAGCTATCCCACTACTGGGTATCTACCCAAACAACTTGAAATCAACAATCCAAAGTAACATATGCACCCCTATGTTCACTGCAGCCCTATTCACAATAGCCAAGACATGGAAGCAATCCAAGCGCCCATCAACTGATGACTTGATAGAGAAGATGTGGTGTATATATATACAATGGAATACTACTCAGCCATAAAAAAGGACAAAATCATCCCATTTGCAACAACATAGATGGACCTGGAGGGAATTATGCTAAGCGAAATAAGCTAGACTGAGAAAGACAAACACCAGATGATTTCACTCATATGTGGAATATAAACAAACACATACACAAAGAAAACAGTTCAGTGGTTACCAGGGGAAGGGGGTAGGGGGTGGGCACAGGGGGTGAAGGGGAGCACTTATGTGGTGACAGTCAAGAAATAATGTACAACTGAAATCTCACATTGATGTAAACTATTGTGAACTCAATTAAAAAAATACAAAAAATAACTGAATACCATTTTTTTTAAAAAGAATTTTTGCTTCTATGGTCATGTGAAACATTGGTCTGTGATTTTATTTTATAATGGTTGACAAGTTTTCATGTTAGATTTACAGTGGCTTCATAAAACAAGTTGCAAAGTATCCTTTTTCCTCTGTTTTCTGGATGATAAAATTAACAACATTTCATCTTTAAATGTTTGATCGAACTCATCAGTGAATCTCCGCCTGGAGTCTTCTCTTTGGGGAGGTTTTCGATAAAATCAATCTATCTTTCATAAATATAGGCCTATATGCTTCCTTAAATAACATGGTTTAGTTATACTTGTTTTTTTGTTTGTTTGTTTGTTTTTTTGGAGGAAGATTAGCCCTCAGCTAACTACTGCCAGTCCTCCTCTTTTTGCTGAGGAAGCCTGGCTCTGAGCTACCATCTGTGCCCATCTTCCTCTACTTTATACGTGGGACGCCTACCACAGCATGGCTGCCAAGCAGTGCCATGTCCGCACCCGGGATCCGGGCCAGCGAACCCCGGGCCGCCGAGAAGCAGAACATGTGGACTTAACCGCTGCGCCACCGGGCCGGCCCCTAGTTATACTTGTTTTTGAACTTTATATAAATCTATCATATGTCTTGTGTTTTGCTCCTTCTCCTCCTAGAGGGAAACTGCTTGTTCATAGAGGGTTCTTTCTATTTCCAGATTTAATTTGTGAGACCAGATGTTTATTAGCAAGCTTTTACACAGATAAGTCTTTGATGGAGAAAGGAAAGGAGGAGTACTTGGTACATGCAAGGTTTTTTGTTTTGGTTTTAGGATCCTAGGTAGAACGCCTAGTTCTTTGGTTTTGAAAAGGAGAACAAAAGCGACGTCTACCAGGCAGTCCTCATTTTAAACTGCTACTCGGCGCATTTTGAAGTCTCTTCCTCAGCCTGGGGAGCCCGGCGTGTTGGAGGCCCGCTCCCCCAGCTGCCTTGGTCGTGCAGGCATGAGGCCGAGCCTGTCATCAGATACACCCACACAGGCCTTGGAATAGGAAGGGAGCAACTTGACAAAGCTCTTGAATCTTCGCTGATTTTCAACACATCACTTACTGTAAAATTCAGACACAGTATTTAACAAAGCAAGTAGGGTGCTGTTTTTATATTCTTGGATAACTTGATTTACAAATGTGTTTGGCACCTGTGTAGTAGGGAATTTGACCTCACCCGGGGAGAGGTTTGGCCTTTGTCCTGGCTCTTGGGAGGTAACCTGTAAACACTTGGACTTTCCCAAATGCTGGGAATATTTTTGTTATCCCTCACGGAGGGCCCTCGGGCCTTATCAGCCCGCCCTCAGGGATGGGGGAGCTGGAGACATTACAACCAGGTGGGCAGTAATTCAATCAATCATGCCTTCATAATGAAGCCTCAATAAAACGGGACACTACAGCTCGGCCGAGCTTCCCAGGTTGGCAAGACTCCATGCGTGTTGTCACCCGTGGATCTGGGACAGTGATGTGTCCTGAGGGCAGTGGGAGCTTCCTGTGTGGAACTCTCCTAGACTCTGTGCTACACATCTTTTCCTTTGCTGCTGCTCTGTATCCTTTCCCTGTAATAAATGTAACTGTGGACATAATTGCTTTCAGTGGGTTCTGTGAGCCTTTCTAGCAAATTATTGCACATGAGGGCGGTTTGGGAAGCCCGAGCTGGCAGTTCTCAGGAGGCTCGGGCAGAGCTGGCTGCCTGGAGAGCTGTGCTGGAACCTCACAGTTTGGCAACTCCAGGTAGCCACCACAAGAAGTAATCGTACCTGGCCATCAGGTCATGCAAAACACCTGCCTCATCTCCCTCGCTCTGTTTTACTTTTCTTCTCTTTTTCCTTGTCATCCCTTTTATTTTTCATCTCTCTTTCTATGCCCCTCCTTCTTTATCGATCCTTCACTTATCCTGTCAATAACACCCATGAGCCTTAGACCACGTCAACAGTGACATTTCACCATGAAAAGGTCTTTGATTAAGAGACTGCTGTGAAATGTCTGCACATGGTCATTGGGATACCAGAAGCAGGCAAAATGTCTTGAGATAACTTATGGTGAAAGTCTCATTCTGCAAGGAATCATAAAAAATGAAAATCTCGTGTAAAAGCTGAATACATTTAAAGGAAAAGTCTGCATTTGTTAAACTGTAGTTCAATGGAAGCTCTCTATGGATGTTTGGTCTCATTTAAATATGTATATATCCCTTATAAAACTCACTTTCCGTTTGGATCCTTACCTTGAAATAAAAATGTTTTAACTGTTATTTGACGGGAAGGGAAAACCCCACAGCACTTGTACTTATTTATCTCCAGGTTATAGACAATTTGTGAAATGAGTGACTCCGAAGATGACGATATCCCCCAGCTGTCTTCCCACACCCTAGCAGCTCTCCAGGAATTTTATGCCGAGCAGAAGCAACAGATCGACCCAGGTGGGGACGATAAATATAACATTGGCATAATAGGAGAGAACTGGGTAAGTAAACGCGTTCCACGCCTCTCAGGAAGCAGTGGTGTGGAACCTGTTCTGTGCCTAGTACAGTGTTCGTCTGCATCCCACCTAATACCCAAATCTATCTTGCCGGTCATTCGGGAGCTGCACCTCTTTGGGGAGCTAGGACAGAAGGCAGTCCCTGAATATTTTAAGACAGCACGAGTGCAGATTTTCCTGGTTCTGGCTCTCAAGCAGGTTGGTGCTCAGAGGAGGGGACTTCTCTGACAGGGGGGCGGCATGTCATTAGGTCCAGCGCAAACCTGGGCTTCCTTCCTGATGCTGCTGCCTTCGAGTGGTTTGTGTGGAGCCCAGCAAGCTTTGGGGACAGAGAAAATCGGTATCACTGCCGTCACTGGGGTAACTGAACTTGAACATGTAATGAAAAATTGCTGAAAGGGAGTTTCTAAAGAAGATATTAATAGTGTCTGGTGCATAGTGTGTATTTTAAATTTGGTTTTTTTGGTCCAAATAAAAGTAGGAATTAAAAAAGAAAAAAAATGAGTTGAGAGAAACTCCTAACCTAAGCTGGAACCTAGAAATTTAAATTTTTTGAAGGATATAGTTGAGAAATAGGTGATACTTGAATTGTTCTGTCTGTGCCTACCCTCAATAATAGATTTGTCTCTCTCCATCCCTTTACAACTGGCAGGAAGCTTGCTTATATATGTATATTTTATAGTCTTTCCACATTTTGTATCAAGTTTGGATCTCCTAAGTTATATAAAATTTCCCTATTTACCATCTATTTGAAACTGACTGTGATAAAAATGCTTCTTTATATTTCCTGTAAATGTTCCACCCACCCAGAGCCTCTTTCTCACCATCTGCCTTCTCTGCATGGTCTTGTCCTCCAGCCCGATGCTTCGAGAGAAAGTAAAATCAGAAGCCTGAAGTGCTGCATTATTCCTGAGTAATCTACCTTTTTCTCTTGTCCTTCTGCCTAATTTTTTAAATACTATGTACTTTTTCGTCATTCTAAAAGTAATCTCTGTTTGTTATAGAAAATATATAAAAACATAAACAACAAAAAAATGAAAGCTAGTCCTAATCCCACTACCTAGAATGAGCGATTTTTATAATTTTGACACTTTTTTTGTTTTGCTTTTTCTCTTTTTTTAATTGAGGTATAATTGACATACAACATCATCTTAGTTTCAGGTGTACAACATAATGACTTGATATTTCTACATATTGCAAAATGATCCCCACCGTAAGTGTAGTTAACATCCATCACCACACATTGTTACAGAGTTTTTTTTCTTGTGATGAGAACTTTTAAGATCAACTCTCTTATCATCTTTCAAATATACAATCCGGTTTTTGTTGTTTTTTTTTTTGAGGAAGATTAGCCCTGAGCTAACTACTACCAGTCCTCCTCTTTTTTTGCTGAGGAAGCCTGGCCCTGAGCTAACATCCGTGCCCATCTTCCTCTACTTTTTTTTTATATGTGGGATGCCTACCACAGCATGGTGTGCCAAGCAGTGCCATGTCTGCACCGTGATCCGAACCAGGGAACCCCGGGCCGCTGAGAAGCGGAACGTGCACACTTAACTGCTGCGCCACCGGGCCGGCCCTCTACAATACGGTATTGTTAACTACAGTCACTATGCTGTACGTCACATCCCCAGGACTTAGTTATTTTATACCTGGAAGTTTGCACCTTTGACTGTCTTCATTCATTTCACCCACCTGCCACCCTCTGCCTCTGCCCAACACCAATCTGTTCTCTGTATCTATGAGCATGGTTTTGTCTTTTTTTTTTGATTCCCTGTATAAGTGAGATGACACAGTATTTCTCTTTCTCTGTCTGAGTTATTTCACTTGGCATAATCATGTTGTTGCAAATGGCAGGACTTCCTCATTTTTTATGGCTGAATAGTATTCCATTGTGTTTGTATACCACATTTTCTTTCTCCACTCATCTGTTCACGGACACTTAGGTTGTTTCCATATCTTGGCTATTGTAAATAATGCTGCAATGAACTTGGGGGGGTGCATATATCTTTTCAGATTAGTGTTTTCATTTTCTTCAGATAAATACCCAAAAGTGGAATTGCTAGATCATATTACAGTTCTAATTTTTTTTTTGAGGAAAAACTACTGTTTTCCATAGCAGATGTTCCAATTTACATTCCCACGAACAGGGCACAAGGGTTCCCTTTTCTCCACATCCTTGTCAACACTTGTTATTTCTTATCTTGTTGATAATAGTCATTCTAACAGGTGTGAGGTGATATCTCATTGTGGTTTTGATTTCCACTTCCCTGATGATTAGTGATGCTGGGCATCTTTTCATGTACTTGTTGGCCATCTGTATGTCTTCTTTGGAAAAATGTCTATCCAGGTCCTCTGCCCATTTTGTAATCAGGTTGTTTGTTTTTTTGCTAGTGAGTTGCATGAGTTCTTTATATATTTTGGATATTAACCCATTACGAGTTATATGATTTACAAATATTTTCTCCCATTCAGTACGTTGCATTTTTCATTTTGTTGATGGTTTCCTTTCCTGTGCAGAAGCTTTTTAGTTTGAGGTAGTCCCACGTGTTTGTGTTTGCTTTTGTCACCTTTGCTTTTGGGGTCAAATTTTAAAAACCATAGCCAAGACCAATGTCAGGAAGCTCACAGCCTATGTTTTCTTCTAGGAGTTTTATGCTTTCAGGTCTTACATTCAAGTCTTTAATTTATTTTGAGTTAATTTTTGTGTATGGTGTAGGATAGTGGTTTAGTTTCATGTTTTTGGTTGCGGCTGTCCAGTTTTCCCAACACCACTTATTGAAGAGACTGTCCATTCCCCATTGTATATTCTTGGCTCCTTTGTTGTACCATATATGCATGCATTTATTTCTGGGAGCTCTGTTCTGTTTCATTGATCTATGTATCTGTTTTGATGCCAATACCATACTGTTTTGATTGCTATACCTCTGTAACATAGTTTGAAATCAGGGAGCATGATGCCCCCAGCTTTGTTCTTCTTTCTCAGTATTGCTTTGGCCGTTCCAGGTTTTTTGTGCTTCCATACAAATTTTAGGATTGTTTGTTCTATTTCTGTGAAAAATGCAATGGGAATTTTGATAGGGATTGCATTGAATCTGTAGATTGCTTTGGGTGGTATGAGCATTTTAACAGTATGAATTCTTACAATCCATGAGCATGGAAAATCTTTCCATTTATTTGTGTCTTCTCCATTTCTTTTAGCCATGTCTTATAGTTTTCAGTGTATAGGTTTTTCACGTCCTTGGTTAAAGTTATTCCTAGGTTTTTGTTCTTTTTGATGCAAATAAATGGAACTGTTTTCTTAATCTCTCTTTCTGATAGTCTGTTATTAGTGTATAGAAATGCCACGAATTTCTGTATATTGATTTTGTATCCTGAAACTTTATTGAATTCATTTATTAGTTCTAACAGTCTTTTGGTGGAGTTTTAGGGTTTTCCATATATAATATCATACCTTCTGAAAATAGTGACAGTTTCATTTTTTCCTTTCCAATTTGGATGCCTTTTATTTCTTTTTCTTGCCTAATTGCTCTTGCTAGGACTTGCAATACTATGTTGAGAGATGTTTTGTTTTGTTTATAAAATTCAATAAATCTCCTAGGAATTAAAAAAAAGTTATATGAAGTATAGGAAAGAGAACATTATAAAACTAGAGGATAAATCCAGGAGGCTCAACATTCACCTAATTGGAGTTCCCAAAAAATAGAACAGAAAACAAAGAGGAGAGGAAATCTTCAAAGATTAATATTAGAAAATTTCCAAAAACCTAAGACCTTCACTAAGATATGATTATGATAATTGTGAAAAATATAGTAACAAAGAAGATGCTAGAACTTTCCAAAGGAAAAGTAGGTCACCTACAAAGTCTCAGGACTATGAGTCACATTGTACTTCTCCATAGCTTTACTGGAAACTAGAAAAAAGTGAAGCAATGCCTTCAATATTTGGAATGAAAATTTTCTTCAGCCTAGAATTCTGTACTCAGCTGAGCTACCAATAAAATATGAGGATAAAATAAAAACATTTTATACATGGCGAGTCTCACAACATTTGGCTCCCATGCACCACTTTTCACAAGCTGCAAGAGGACACTGGAAGAATTAGGGATAGGTTCAAAGAAACCAAGAAAATGACACAACCATACATTTATTAACTCTAGGAAAAACAAAAGGTACCATTCTGGAAGGAAATGCAACCATAGCATGTTACTTGGCTCAGCAGTGAACCCTGATGATTTTAACTAAACTAAACTTAGGTAACAACTATATGGGGAGGGTGAGATATAAGCGAAGGGTATGTATGAGGAGTGAAATCCTCATCTACCACAGTAAATACATAATATAAAGTAGGTTAATAAAGAAATGACGTTTAAAACATAATATTTAGAAATATGGGGACAAAAGATTAAAGAGCCAACAGTTGAAAATTGCTTCTGAGGAGTGGGACTCAGTGGTGGGGAGATGTGGGGCAGAGGACTGTTGTGTTTCTTTATAAGCCTAGAAGTGCTTTTCCCTTTTAAAGCCATGTTCATGTAGCACATTGATTAAGAGTAAGATTTTTTATTTTTTTTATTTTTTGAGGAAGATTAGCCCTGAGCTAACATCTGCTGCCAATCCTCCTCTTTTTGCTGAGGAAGATTGGCCCTGAGCTAACATCTTTGCCCATCTTCCTCTATTTTATATGTGGGATGATGGCACAGCATGGCTTGATAAGCGGTGCATAAGTCAACAAGTGGGATCCAAATCCACAAACCCTGGGCCGCTGAAGCAGAGCACGAGAACTTAACTGCTATGCCACCAGGCTGGCCCGATGATTTTTACTTTTTAGAATGATGTGAGAAGAGTCAAAACACATCACTCTGCCCTGACAATGTTGGAGTGAGGGAGAAGGGCAGCTCAGTAGCCAACCATCAGAAAACTCTGCAGCCTTCCAAATCAAGTGAAACAGAAGCCCCTACATACCATGTACCCTATGGGCTTTCCTCCAGCTTTCCAAGCAAAGGAGAGTCAGAGCTTGACATTTTTCCTGTAGCTAAGAAAGGTTAGACACACACATCTAGACGCAGTTATAGACAGAGACATGAATTCATATTTAGTCATACCTGGCTTAATGACGTGGATGCATTCTGATAAATGTCGTTAGGCAATGTCATCGTTGTAGGAACATCACAGGGTGTACTAACACAAACCTAGGCGGTATAGCCTACTACACACCTAGGCTATATGGAACTAGTCCTATGGGACCAACCTCGTATAAGTGGTCCATCATTGACCAAAACTTCGTTATGTGGCACATGACTGTACATATATCCAAATGAATACGTACATTCTGTTTGGAAACAGTTTTTTTCCCTTGGTATTTTGTAGGTACAAAAATCACATAACATGCAAACACTAGCAGTTTTTCTTCTTTGTTGGCTGTCATTCATTTATTGCTTTTCTTGTATTAATGCAGTGGTTAGGTCTTACAGTAAAACGTTGAATAACAGTATTGAAAGCAGACATTCTTGCCTTGTTTTTTTCTCATGGGGAAAAAGTATGATACTGGCTGTCAGTTTTTTCTAGATGCTGTTTATCAGTTTAAAGAAGTTTTCTACTCTTCCTAATTTGCTAAGAGGTTTTTTTTTTAATCATGAAAGGGTGTTGAATTTAGTTAAATGTTTTTCCTTTTGCATTTATTGAAATGATCATATATTTTTTTGGAAACATTTCTGTTACCGAGCCCCAAGGGCCCGGTGACCGGCAAGTGGGTCCTTGTGCCCGGAGCCGCCCACACCAATAGAACAAAACCAGGTTCAGAATAGCAGGGCAGAAACACTACTCACAGATCAGTGAATGCAGGAGGCAGAGCTGTGCTCTAAGACACCTCCGGAGAGAAGGGGAGCAGGCTTCTTACGACGTGAAGGGGCCGGGGTCTCGAGTCATCGCTGGGCCGGGCCTCTGGGGCACGTGCCCATGCTCCCTTCGTGCACACAGCACCTTTTGCGTTCGGGACCCCATCGCGCCCTGGGCCTTTCTGGTTGAGAGCGGCTCTGCGGTTGGGCCCCGTGGCGGTGCTCTGCCTTGGTTCCTGCAAGCAAGCGCAACTCACAAAGGATCCGCGTGGGACCTGCTGTGGGGACTCCCCGGTGACGCCGTTAGAGCCGGAGCTGTGGGCTCGCGCCCCCGCCGCCTGTCCGCTCGGGAGAGGCCTGTGGGGAACGGCCCACCATGGTTGCGGAACCCCCTTTCCCACGGAAATCAGCCAGCCTTTACAAGCGAGTAGATAAGTGAGGACCGTTAGAACTGAGAAGACAGCCAGCACAGACAGGAGGCGGAAAGACAGACAGCTCGCCCGACGGATAGAGGGCGTCAGGGCAATCGCGGACGAGAGCGGGCCTAGGGGCACGGCGGGGCCTGCGGCCGAGCGCCCGCGTCCTGCGCGCGCTCCCCGACCGGAGCCCAGTTAGCAGGCGGGGGCAGGTCCAGGGCGAGTTCTCAAAGGTGGGGCGTGTTCTTCCCTCTGGGGACGTGGACTGGTTCGCCTTTTTGTGTCAATGCCTAGATCCCATTAGTTAATTAGGGCTTTCTTATTTAAAGTAATTTAAAAGAAAAAGGGACCCGCTCGGTGGCCTAGGGGTTAAGGTCGGTGCGCCCCGCTTCGTGGCCCGGTTCGGTTCCCAGGCGGGGACCTACCACGCTGGTAGATCTGCACCACTCATGGGGCAAGAGGGTTCAGGGCGGATCTTCCTCAGCGGAAAGAAAGAAAAAGAAAAAATTTAAATATATGCACACTAGCATAGTGGGTATAAGTTAAAAGGAAATTTATGCCAATTCTAAAATGATTTCTGCTCACGCTCTGTTACAGCAGTTGAGCCAGTTTTGGTACAGTCAGGAGACGGCTTTGCAGCTCGCCAAGGAAGCGATTACAGCTGCTGGAGAGGGTGGCAGGTGAGATCCAAGTTTTGTTTGTCTTTTGTTCTGAAGTAATGTATTGAATGTCCTTCCTGGATGAGGGATGGTTCCTAAGAAGTCTGAACTATAATCTGCAAACATTACAGTCCGTGGTTTGCAGAACAGGAGGAATTACGAACGGCTTCCGTGCTGTGTGTGGAGACTCTGTCGTGAGAGGCGTTATCTCTGTCCTATGTTAACTTGTTTTAACCTGTGTCTTCCTTTATACCCCTGGAGTTGGTTTTAAAAGAAAAAATCTCAATGTTTGACCTTCTTGAAGTTTTAAGAATATAGGTTTTCTTTTTTGTTAATTTGGTTTTTATTTTTATTAAAATTTTGCTTGCATATAAAGTCAATGGTCTTAAAAGATTTGTTTAAAAAAATCCATTGCTAACTTCCTCCTTTTTCAGCTCCCTTTCAACTGATTCTTTTAGTATTTACAGCCATACTTCTGAATAGCACGTTTATATTGGCGCTTCTTGATTTGTCATTTGCAGCATTATTTCTTGACTTCTCAACTTAGGGAATGAGGCTGTAGCTCTCCTTCATACTCCATCCCTACCACGCACGTGTGTGCTCTCCGTCCGCGCTCCCAATAGAGTTATATGCTCATTTTGGTTAAAACAGAGTTTATATTGTTAGTCAACATAAATGTTCTTTACAGATGAGTCTTTTACTTTTCCTTTGCTGTACAATTTTTCGTTTTCCCTGAAAAAAATAATTGTCTTATTTTTTATGTATTTCTATGTCTATATCACTAATTAACCCTTAAATTCTGCCCCAGTTGTGTAAATCTCCTATCAGTAAATTAAACCATACTTCAACTCCTTATAAAAATAATCACTCCCAGGGCTTTGTAGCCGGTTCCGATCCGTACTGGTTGATGTTCAGCTTGGCTGGGCCGTTTTATCTCCTTCTCCATCTGCTGAGTTGTCCTTTTACCTCTCTTTTGTTCTGGATTCCTTGTTTATAGTACCCCAATGCTTAGTTTACAGCTTTATCTTGGTTGGAGGCATTCTTCAATAGCTTCTACAGAAAAGATACATGAGAGGGAATTTTTTAAAAACCTTTATTCCACCCTTACTCTTGATTGTGATAGTTTTGTTGGGTATCAAATTCCAGGTCTTGAGGGCATTGCTTCACTAGTTCCCAGTTTACATAGGTGCCTTTGAAAAATCCACTGCCACTCTGATTTCCTGTAGGAAACCTGTTTTTCCCATCCCTGCCAACTGCAAGCTTAGAACTTGCTTTTCTGGCCTGTGCTCGATGTGTCTTGGTGTGGGGCTCCCGTCTGCTGAACTGTGTAGACAGCTCTTCACTCTCACAGCTCATGTCCTTCAGTTTGGGAAACTTGTCTTAAATTACTTCTTTGATTTCTTCCTCACTGTTTTTTCTGTTCCTCTTTCTAGAACTTCTATCATTTGAATGTTGGACCTGATCTTCTACTTTCTTTCTCTCCTTTTTCCATCTGTTGTCTTTTTTACCTTATTTTCTGGGAAGATTTCTCAACTTTGTCTTCTAAACTTTCTACTGAGTTTACCATTTCTGCTATCATATAGTCATAGATAGTTTTGTTTTTGATCTCTGGATATTTATTATTGTATCTCGTTCATCCTTATGAAGATATTAATTATAGGATTTTAAGTTTTCTTCCCCCTACATAGTCTGTTTACTCCAACAACATGCCTTTTCCATTTGTTTATTTTGGCCTCTAATATTTGATGTTTTCCTTGAATATCTGTGGACCTTTTGCTGTCTATTCATATTTAAGGGTAGGGCACTCAAAAGCTGGAAGTTTTGATCCATGGGCAGATCTTATCTACTTTGGTCTCTGCAGTTGGATGATCTGGATGAGCTTTTTTATAGGGAAACCCCACTGTCAGTATTTCTAGTCTTCCCCTGTGGGCTGGTCAGAGCTCCAGGGGAGAGTCTTCTAACATGTACCTGGAATTATGCATCTCATTGATGTCATCATGGGAGGCACAGCACTTAAAAAAAGCTGGAGATCTCAACATCCAGTGGGCTTAACTTAATCCTTGTCAGTTCCACATGGTGCTTCATCACTAGCTGTGCCTGGCATCACCCCCACAACTCCTCCCCCGTCCATCCAGAGAACGTCCCTCCAGTTCTTTGCCATAGTTATGGAGGGGCAGATCCCTGGAGGCTTGAGATAGGGAAGAGAATCCTGGGAACAGATTTCTTCTGAACTGGGCCTTTCAATGAATTCTTCTGTTTTTAGTCCCACCTTCACCCCTACTCTTGAGTTACCCAGTTCTGCCGCTTCCTGAGCCTTTGAGGGTGCTGTGATGTAAACCGGGTTGTTTCTTAGCTTTCCTGGCTGCCAGTTTAGGGTCTGCTTTCTTGGGGCTGCTGTGTCAAATGCCACCCATCCTTTTGCTTCTCAGCTTCCTCAGTGCTGTTTCCTTCGTCCCCTCTTGCATTCTCTTTGGTCTTAGAGGTTTATGCTTCAGCCACAAAACAAGGCAAAATTTTACTCATGTTTTATTCAGTAGGCTTTAATAAGGGAGCAAATCTAAATGAATGTGTTGCATCTGCCATCTTTAACTAGAAGTCCTAAGTTTTTCTTTTTTCTGTTCTTTTTCTTTTTTAAACTATAAGCAGTTGTTTATTAGGGTTTTCGTAATGACAGTGTTTTTGCATATGTTTTCTTTTTTCCACTCATGTGAGGGCTTTGGAAGCAGCCTTTGCTGTTTTCTGAAAGGCATCTTCAGTATTTTGAGGAGCTCCGTCTGACTTGTAAAGATGAAGAGTCCCAGTGGCACTTACTGAGCACTTACTGAGCGCCCTCTCCGCTGGCTGTGTGCTCTGTGAGGTCGTCTCCTTTAATCCTCACGCCTCTGTGAGCTGGTTACTGTTGTCCTCTCCATTCTAAAGATAGACTTTGAGGCCCAACAGATGAAGTCACTTGCAGAAGGTCACCAGCTGGTGAGTGGCAGAGCTGGGCTGCAACCCAGGCTGTCCGATGTCACTGCTACATAGGAAATGGCGTTGTCTCCACCACGCTCAGCAGGCTCTACTTTCACTCCTTGCTCAGACCTCTTCCCTTCTGCCTGAAGTAGATCCTTTGGAACTTTATAGTGAAAGTCTGCGGGTAAAAAACTCTCGGATTTTTTTTGTCCGAAAATATCTTTATTCCACCCTCTTTCTTGGAAGGCTTTTTCATTGTGCGTCTAGTCTTTGGTTGCTGCTTATTCTCTTTCAGCGCAGGGAAGATACAGGTCCCCGGCCTCTGCCTCTCCTCCTGCTCCCCAGAGCTCTGGCAGCAGCCTGGCTGGGCTGTGGGCAAGAAGAGCTGCAGCAGGAGAATTGTGCCCCTGCCACCCCAGGCTGGGACGTGCATGTTTCCCGTGGAAGCCTCACATGGCCTCAGCAGACTTCATCACACACTTCCAGTGTTTTCCACTGAGCAGCCGTTAAGCTGGTGTGGGCACCTGACAGCGCACGTGACCTGTCTCTGCTGGGAAATGCATCTCATAGTTTTAAAGCTGAGCTTAATTTTTAAAAGAAGTACTTTTTTGAATGATAATATACATACATGATAAAAATGTGAAAGTGGGGCCAGCCCTGTGGCCGAGTGGTTAAGTTCGTGCACTCGGCTTCAATGGCCCAGAGTTTCGCTGGTTCGGATCCTGGGTGCAGACATGGCACCGCTCATCGGGCCATTCTGAGGTGGCGTCCCACATAGCGAAACTAGAAGGACCCACAACTGAAAATACACAACTATGTGCTGGGGGGCTTTGGGGAGAAGAAGGAAAAATAAAATCTTAAAAAAAAAAAAAGTAAAAGTTACAAAGGGGATTGAGAAAAAAAGCCAGTCTCTTTCTCCATTGTCTCCAATCCCCCAGTTCCACTCCCATGAGGCACCCGTGGTCCCTGGCTCTTGTGCCTCTCCCAGAGATCACAGGTTCGTCTGTGAGCGTATATTCTTAGACCCATGAAAGCATGGTTTACGCCCTTCTGTTCCTTGAATATCTTGGAGAGTAAATGGCTACAGAGTGTTCCATTGTAACAAATGTACCACAGTCAAGTCAATAATTCACTCTTTAAGTTACTTCTAGCTTTTTTAGCAGTTGGTTTTAAAAGTTTACTGTTGGAACACCACCCATTCATAAATGGTAGTGTTGTACCACTGGGGACTGCTTGTAATGCAGCATTCCTTAATTTCCCTGTTCAGAAAAGAAGCAGAAATTCAAAGTAGCTTGTCTGCACTGAGACCTAATTTTAATGTTATCTTTTTGGAAAACTGGAGTTATTTAGGCAGTTATTTGGGATTTTTCTTTAAAGATTATGAATATTCCAAAATAACTTCAAAATATTTAGTTTGAGACTAAAAGTATTTGAAATAAATGTTAAAGGACCACCATGAAAATAAGGGGTAAATTTAGGCCTCAGGCTATCTAACGTTTGTCCTAATGTGTTCCTTTTTTACACTTTTTACTATATTTTTTTTACGTTTTTTGTTTTACATTTTTTAGTATAAAAAAGCAGATTTATCCTTTCATACCTTAAAATTATGAGTTGCAGATTTTTAAATACGAGATTCCCTAAAAGTGAGGCAATATAAAGTTTTCTCTTGAAATTTACTCCTGCTATGTTAGTTTGCACTATTATTTCCTTTAAGAAAATCTGAGCACAAGGACTTATATTTTTTAGTAAAGTAGTCGTTTTTTAACACCATAAGCTGTTCGTTAAAGATCTTTCATGAGTTTGTTCATTCTGTTTCCTAGAATAGCATGTGTGAGTGCCCCGAGTGTTTACCAGAAACTGAGAGAGCTGCACAGAGAAGACTTTTCTGTATACATCTTTGAATATGACAAAAGATTTGCCATATATGGAGAAGAGTTTATCTTCTATGATTACAATAATCCACTGGATTTACCTGAAAAAATTGCTGCACATAGTTTCGACATCGTAATAGCAGATCCCCCCTATCTTTCTGAGGAATGTCTCAGGAAAACGTCAGAAACCATCAAGTATCTGACTCAGGGCAAGATTCTGCTGTGCACAGGTAGGTGCCAGATTGCATCTCTCCTGAAAATTGGTGACGGTGGGTGTTCAAGCCTTAGGTATCAAGAGTTAGAAGAGATCTTAGAACTCAAATCCTGAATCCACCGCTCACTGTGGGGCCTTAAACAAGTTATTTAACCTCTCTGTGCCCAGTTTCCTTATCTGTAAACTGGGACTGATAGTACTACCTGCATTTCAAGGTTATTGGGAATTAAGTGACACGATACACGTAGAGTGGGGTCTGGCGTGTAGCGAGTGCGCCCTGAATGGTATTTTTACTTACCATCATCAGCATCAGTAGTAGCAGTATTTGATGCAGCCTCCACACTTGATAAGAGAAATTTGGAATCTATAGAGTTCAAGTGAATGCCTAAGGCTGCAGAGCTAGACGTTAGATTAGGTTTATTAAAGCAGAAGAGTTTTCTTACTTGTGAGATCGATATGTTTTCTTAAGGTGGATATACTGAAATTTGAGCAAAACGTCAAATGCAGACTCCTGATCTCCCTCCTGGAGAGCCTGGGGCACAGGCCCGGTAGCACTGCGCCCTCCTGCGCCCAGGCCCTCAGGCCATTGCTCCTCCCCAGAGCGCCTGGGGCTGGGAGGAGGCCTGGCCTGCAGGCGGTCATCTTCTTTGGGGGTGTAGAATTGCTTACTTGGTCGAGAACGTGACTCTTTTGTTCACACAATATTTACTTAATGCTTATTGATTCAACAATCGTTTACTGACCTCATGGAGCATACATTAGTTTTAGGGGATAGGTTAAAAGACGTAACAAGACAGAAGAAATGAGTTACTAATTCTGATAAGTGTAATGAAAGAATCAGAGAAAGCAGGGTAGCACAGAGGATCATGGTACTTCACATGGACTGGGGCGTCTCCTGGAGCAGCAGCATTTCAGTGGAGACCTGCAGGGGAGGCCCAGGGGAGCAGCATGGCCCAGTCAGGGAGCCCTTTGGCTGGAGCCTGGGCGGGGAGGGGCATGGCGAGAGGCCCCCCTGCAGACACTGGTCTGGTCGGAGTTGGGATTTCCTCTTAAAGCGTTCAGCCCCAAAGTGACAGGATCCGATTTGTCTACAGAAGTTTCCTTTAACTTTGTACCCAAATGGATTTATGAGACAAGTGACCACAGCATCCCACTGAGACAGTGGTCTGGACAAGGCTGTGACAGTAGGAAAGGAGGGCAGGGAGTGGAGTGAAGACACACTGTGGGGATAAAGTTGGAGGAACTCGCTGTGCCCTGAATGTGGAGGGTGAAGACGAGGAAGGATCAGGGTGAGCCTGGGTTTGGGGCCTGTGCGGCTGGTAAGGCACATCCTGTGGGGCAGCAGCAGGGCGGCGGCGGCGGCCACGGTGTCCACAGCATCAGCTGTGCAGGCAGGCCGCCGGGCGAGCACTGGCTGGAGGGGGAAACTGGGGCCAGTCAGCCCGAAGCTGACGTGAGTGTGTTCGTACGAATTGCACAGTTAGATATTACTGAAAAAGGGGTTCTTGACTCAAAGTTGGAAAATACTCGTTTTTAGTAATTTTTTTTGCTTTCCTTATGTTACTTTGTGGAATCATTTATTTCTAAATTTCTAAGTGACTCAGCTTTGCAGAGGTAGGAAAATTATTGAGTAAAAGAGGAAGGGAAAAAAGTAGGTAATTTGCAAAAACGTTGGAGAAAGTAAAAAGGAATGTGAAGGACGGGCCCCCTCATTTGTGGAGTGGTAGCATCAAGTAATTGCTTCACGTCTTCCAGTCTAGGGCCTTCCGCAGCTCGCAATGGCGCTGCGCATGGTTGGCATTTCAGTCTTCCAGTTCGTTTGGTTTGTTCTCTTCAGGTGCCGTCATGCAAGAAGAGGCAGCGAAACTTCTTGGAGTGAAGATGTGCAAGTTTATTCCAGAACACACTCGAACCCTGGCAAATGAGTTTCGCTGTTACGTGAATTATGATTCTGGGCTGGACCATGACATCTAAATGCAGATCATAATGTAACACGGTTAAGGACCCTAGGTGACATTTCCTTCTTTTTATTTTCTTAGTAGATTGCAAAGGTATAAGCTGCTCCCCTCCCCCACACACTGGGGCTGTCCCCGCCCTCATTTTCACAATAAAGATACAACATCTCACTGTGACTTCCTTCTTGAGGGCCTCTCTAGAGTTCAGGATGCTTGTGCTAACTTGATTCCACGGAATTATAGTTGGAGAAATCTTCGAATCAATCTAATCTACTCTCCTCACTTAACATAGGTAAAAAGCGAAGTACAAACACTTAGTGGCTTGGCCAAGACCTGAAGTAGGCAGAACCTTAACCTCTGCCTCTGGCCATTCGGCCCCTTAAAATGGGCTCATTCGGATTCTGCCCTGTGGGGCTGCTGGTTCTTCCCATGGCTCTCGTTGAGCGTCGTAACACTGGTGAGGGGCCCTCCTCTGCTCCAGCCCCTCAAGGAGACATGACTTGCCTCCATGTAAAAGTTGATAATCCTAGCAACTAGTGTCCGAGAGCCTCGCGGACTTCTCCCCGTCCCCAGTTCTTGGAGGGATGACAGGAACGCAGCCCAGCCCCAGCGTCTTCAGCCTCCGCCATATCAAACGCCCTGAGCCACCTGAGAAAATAGGAGTGCCACCTGCAAACAAACACCATAGCAAAAAGGAGGTGAAGAGTGTGCTAGACTTTATTGTTGTTCAGAGAGTGTTCATCATACATCCACACCACAGAACACTACCCAGCAATCAAAAGGAACAAAATATTGATATCCACAACTTGGATGGATTTCAAGGGCATTCTGAGTAAAAAAAGCCAATCCCAAAAGGTCACGTACAGAGATTAGGGTGGGATGGCTGTGGCAGGTGAGCATGAGCATAAGAGAGAGATCTCTGGGGTGCTGGAACTGTCCCGTGTCTTGATTGTGCATTGGTTACACAAATCTACACGTGACAGCATTCCATAGAACTGAATACACACCCACTGATGAGTGCCTGTGAAACTGGGGAGCTCTGCGTGAGGTCTGCCCCAGTGTCCGTTTCCCCGCTGTGACAGTGCACCATGGTTGTGTAAGATGTCACCATTGGGGCAGCTCGGTAAAGGAGACACGAGACCTCTCTCTAGTATTTTTGCAATTCCCTGTGAATCCACCATCATTTCAAAATAAAAACTTGTAAAATATTAACCGCCTCTCTCTGGGAAAGGCTTTTACTTCCCCACCTGGTATGACTTGCTTCGGCTAACAAAACAGGAAAGGAAGTGACACTCGGCACTTCTATCAGAGCTTTATTTTCCCTCTGACTCTGTAATCTGCAGTGTTCCAGACAAGCTGCTTTGGCCGTCCGGGTCCCAGCTTGGAGCAGGGCCACAGCCGACCTGCCGCGGACGTGGAGGAGGAGGGGAGCAAACCTCAGAGGGGGGCTGTTGCGCCCTGCGCAGACCCCGGGCCCCGGGGGCGCACACTCCCGCTGGTGCTCAGGAGGCGCCTGGGGCTTGCGCGTGTTTGTTCTTCCTCAGACCTCAGTTGTCATCCTTCGGGATAATTTTTAATTTAATTAAAAAGTCACTCTATTTTTATGAGACATTTATATTCTTATCAGTGTACCAGCACCTGGCACATTAAGTATTCAATAAATGTTTGTTCTGTTAAAAATAACCCCTACCATATTATTTCCTTATGAATCAGTTTGCTAAGAATTACCTAGGGCAGTAATAAATTTTAGTAACAAATCATGCATAGAAATGTAATGTGTAACTTAGGAATTGTGGGCAGTAGCAGCCTAGAAATAACATAATTTCAGTTGTCCTTAAAATCTAGCCTTTAGATGAGAGAAACTTTGTTTCTTCATGGAGATGAGGGAGGAAAGGGGCAAAGCTTGACTCAATTAAAAATTTAATTACAGGGGCCAGCCGGTGGCCCAGTGGTTCCAGTTCCCTGCGCTGGCTGTGCTGGCCCAGGGTGGTGGCTGGATCCTGGTTGCAGACTTACTTTGCTTATCAGTCATGCTGTGGTGACATCCCACATACAAAAAATAGAGGAAGATTGGCACAGATGTTAGCCCGGGGCAAATCTTCCTCACCAAAAAAAAAAAAAAAAATTGTTTAATAAGCAGCCAATAGGTGTTCTATAGCTTTGGACCCCTATACATGATTTCAGTTTTAGCAAACCTATATTCAGCTATGATCCACTTCTGGATTTCAGAAAAGATCTGCAGCTACACCTCTGCCCCTTCAAAAACACAAATTAGGCCTGGCGTGTTCCCCAGTGTCTGTCTCAGCAGCAGAGGGCACAGCGAGCACCCTGCCAGCTCGGGCGGAGGAAGGCTGGGGCAGTGCTCTCCAGTCGGCAGGTCTGTGCACAGTGAATGGTGGATTAAAATAAGCTTCATGGATTCTGACGAGGCACCTCACCTCTTACACTTTACCTAAGAACCTCAGTAGCCAAAAAGGATATGTTAGTCGACATCTTTGTAAGCCCTTCCTATTTCGAAGGTCTGCGCTGAGAGACGAGACAACCAAGAGCTGAGTGGAGGGGAAGATGATAATTCTAGTTTTGCTGACAATTCAAAATTTCCTGCTTAGCTCCTCAGCTGTGTGTTTGGGGGTGATGGCGCGCCTGGACAGCAAGAACAAGTGAAATGCATGGGTGACTTTAAAACCCCATTCCAGGTAGGAATGTCATGCTCTTTCCCCTTCAGCTCCTTTCTAAGATCAGAGCTGGAACCACTTCCTAAAGCAGCCCCTTTCTCCCCTTTGCCTTGCCAAAAGAGAGGCAGTAAAATGAGAAGTTTGGTAATTGGCCCCTGAATGGGGAGCTGTGTGTGCGAATGTTTTTTGATCCGTTTTTATGAAACAAGCATGCAATAGAAATACTGTAGTCAGTTGGTTGGAAAAAATCTTCAATAACCAGCAAGGTACCTCCATTCCAAGGGTTGTGCCATAAGCCTCGAGATAGAATTCCTGAAGGAAACACGTGCCCCGTGGCACTTTTTTGAGAGGCGTGGAAGAAGCTATCAAATTTACCGTAATAAACTGTTGCTACTCTGCAAAGCTTAGGAATTTTAGTGCCCGGGTCAATGGGCTGCCACTATGTTAAGTGTCACCGAACTTTGGCTGGCATCCTTTCTCCCCTATTTGTTTGTTTGATAAAACGTAATACTGACCCCGCCCCCCTCTAGAAAAAACTTTAGTTTTAACAAGAGGACAAAATTCTGTCCCATAAATTGTTAAGTCATCGACATAGTATCTCTGGATCACCACCCTCCAATTTGCCTAGTCGTATTTAATTTTAAACTTATCTTTTGTACAAAAAAAATAGTCACTTTTAAGTGATTATACGCTTGCTAAATCAATAAACATACCATGAAGAAAGAATAGCTTGATCTTTATTTTAAACGTAGCGTGTAGATCACTGGGGCCAGTATGTCGTGGTGCTTCCCGGGCCGGGCGCTGGGCGGGGCCCTCTACGCGCGCGCGCGCGCGCACACACACACACACACACACACACCCGTGCTACCTTTTAACAAACTAAGTTCGGTTAAACTAATAATACAATTAATCACGGTATTTTCCCCATGCAAAGAGTTTACTCTTATTCTCCTCTGATGTTTGCACTATTTATATTTGAGGAGTGACTGGAAAATGTTACACAACAGCGGCGATGATTGAAACCATGATCCAAATCACTGGTTTGAAAGGCAACTTTAATTTATGGACTTGCTGTTGACGTGAAGGCAACAAAAGGTAGCTGTGAGCCTTCTGTTGTCTGGACGGGGTATTCCAGAGAGCTTCCCGACCTTCCTTCCCCCACAGGTTGAACGGAGAACCAAAATCTCCCAAACTGTACAGAATGACGCACAGCCATGATTTCAATTTTGAATTTATTTAGAAAATCCGGATTTTGCTCAGTGATGTTTCTTCACGCACAGCGTCTGTCAGTATCTGGCAGAAGTTTCGAGTTCCCTCGGCGAGCCCCCGCCCAGCACAGCAAGGCCGAGTCTGTCCCAGCGCGGCTCACGGCAGCTGGAGCCGGACGGACGTGCAGACAGGCGGCTTCCTGGCTGCGCCGGGCGTCTCACGAGCACAGACACTGCCTTCGCACGACTAGCTGCTCTTTCTAAAACCAAATCAAATCTTAGTTTAGACTTCAACCGTAAAATCACGATAAAGGGAACTCGGTTGACATAGCTTCCTGTCACAGTCAGGCCATCAAGGCCCAGCGCGCAGCGGCGTGGGCCGGCCCCTTCCCCGCACGTTCTACTCCGTTAGGGGGAACTTCTCGCTTCCACAAACGGCCGTGTTCAGGGCCAGACCGAGCTCACCCTGCTGTGAGCAGGAAAAGAGGCCCCGGGCACTCATCTCCGCACGCCGGGAGCTGGCCTCGTCTCACACTGGGCTCCCTCCTGAAGCTCTGGACACTGGGCCAGACTCGGCTGCTTCCTGGGAACTGGCAGAGGTCGCGTGCCTCGCCTTGCCTTACAGCACCACCTCTTACCCACAAATTGGCCCACTGCCTCTCAGAAGTATAAAAAACTTAATTGTGTAAATCTGCAGCCATTTACACCCTCATGAATCCAGCCCGCGTGAGCGTCCAGGAAGGCCGACGCTGCCCTTTGACTCCCGGCGCCTCTGGCGAGCTCGGCGGAGGGGGCAGGTCCCACTCAGCCCGGGCCGTTTGTCATCGCCAATTAGCAACGGGCTGCGTTCAGAGGCCCAGGCCGCAGCGCCAGCGACCAAGAGCTTATCTAGCCCCCCACCCTCCCCAGTGGTTGAGTCCGGCCCCGCTGCAGCGGCCCAGGGTTTCGGTGGTTCGGATCCTGGGCACAGACACGGCGCCGGACGTCAGGCCACGCTGAGGCGGCGTCCCACATGCCACAGCCAGAAGGACCCACAACTAGGATACGCAGCTATGTACTGGGAGGCTTTGGGGGGAAGGAGGAAAAATTTTTAAAAACCAAGTTTCTCTGAGGGGCTGACGGGGCGGGCAGAGGCGGAGGGGGTGGCTGCTCCGGTCCCCGCGGGCGCCGCCCCTGCCCCGCCGGCAGCCGCTGTGGGGGCGGCCCGCACACAAAACGCAGGCGGGGCGCGGGGTCGGCTCGGCCAAGCCTTCTCCCCAAAAAGACAAAGCTAACACGTTTCCGATCGTGCTTCTACAACATCCTACCGGAGGAGGGGAAACCGAGTGTTTATACAGCAAGCACAACTTTTAAATTGCTAATACAAAAAGTTGCTGCCCCTACTGAAAACAGTTGAGTAAAAAAGTAGGCATATACTGTACTTTCAAAGCTCTGGGCTGTTTAAAGCATCCATCAGTCACCTGGCGGAGGCTCCGCCCCTCCGGGCTGTCCCCACGGCAGCGGCCCCAGGCAGCCCCCGGCGGGGCCGGGCAGGGCGGGCGGCGGAGCCCCGAGCGCGGTGCCGAGCGGCTGCAGCCCCGGGTGGCCGCCCTCGCCGCCCGCCCCGACAGCTCTGCGCCAAGCGCCGCCGCCGGGAGCCCGGCTCGACGGCCGCCCCGTCGTGCGGGCGCCTCAGGGCCGGCGCGGCTCGGCGGCGCGGGCGCGGACGCACGTGCAGCCCACGGCGACGCTGACGTACTCCTCGGCGTAGACGGCGCGGCCCCCCGCGCAGGCCGGCGTGCGGCGCAGCACCACGGCGGGCACGTAGACCGGCGCGCTGCGGAAGCGCAGCTCCTCGGCGCCGCGCGGCCCGGTGAGGCAGCCTGCGCACAGGCAGTAGGCTTCGGGCAGGTAGCGCGGGTAGCGCGCCGGGTCGTAGGAGATCCTGCGGGGAGAGAGACAGGCTTAGCCCCGCGAGGCGCGCCGCCGGCCCGCCCACAGCCGGGCCGGTCCACACGGCGAGCCGCGGCACCTCGTCACAGTTCAGGTGGCCAGGACAGCGTTGACAGCCACGTCCAGGCCATTCTCTAAAAAGGCTTCCCGAATCTGCGCTGATGGACGCGGAAGGGGGCGCTCGCTAGCTCTGCAGGGCCACGGAGAGCGCGCGGCGGGCGCCTCTGCGCCTGGGCCGCAGCGCCTGCTCCCAGGGCCACCTCGGCCAGCAGCCCAGAGCAGTGGCTCCCGAGGCCTCAGAACTGCCTCCCCTCCAGCCCACCAGGCTCTGCAGCCCCAGACCGGGGCCACATCCACCAGGGCGGCTACCCACCCTGGTCCCCAGGACAGGGCCACCGCCCCACGGAGCCCTGCATGAGGCTAGCTGGCCTTGGTGCCAGCCGGTGCGGACCCTGGCCACCCGGCCGCTGACAGGGCCATAGGCAAAGGAAGCTTCGAGACACCTGTCCAGAAGGCCGCGAGGTAGGCCTTGTGTCCCGTCTGTCTGTCAGGGTCCATGTGTCCTCTTCTGTGAAGGGGCCGAAGCCACACCAGGGTAGGGCAGGACTGGCCAGGCTGGGACGTTTGAAAACTGAGTGATGGTTTAAACCTGATCGTTTTCATCCTCCTCCACGTCCCCCTATTGTCTGGTCTGATGCCAGGAACCGAGTGTCGCACCTACACAACACCCTGTGGCCGCCGGTGGAGGAACAAAAGCACCCCCGGGCCGGCTCTGCCCTCCACCACCCCTCGCCCCAAAGCAAAGAGGTCAAAGCTGTGTCTGGGCATGAATGGGGACCCAGGACTCCTCCCTGACGTCCCCTTGCAGAGGGAAGGATGGTCCCCGTTTCTCATGGGATTGCCATGACCTCAAATTCCCATGTCCGTTAATCTGCCCATTTAAAACACATACAATCCTCTTAGGAATGTTTCTCTTTCTTCTAGAGCTGAATCCTCGGGACCCCAAATCTCAGAATCACAGCTAGGACTTCTCTAACCTCTCAAGAAACAAACATATTTGTACACCCACGACATGCCAAGCCCAGGAAGGCCCCCAAAGTGCTGATCCAATGAGAGCCTATGATATAAATGAAAAAAATGAGATGGGCTTAACGGCTTTTAAACCTTACAACTTGAGGTGTGTACAGTTTCTCATCTGGGTTCCTGTTAACAAGCACTCTTGACAATAGTGTGGCTACAGCAAAGACAGCTCCGTGGGAGAGACGCTGGCCTGGTTAGCCTTACCCGTCCTGGCTTGCAGAAGTTTGATGTCCTCCAGACAGACTAGTTCTGTGGACTAGTTCTCTTGTAGGTCCTCACTAATAATGGCTAAAATTCATCAACCAAGTTAAGAGATTTCCAGTTAAGAAGTATGTTCAAACCACCCAGTTAGAGAATGGGCAGAGGCAGTAGGGGGCCTAGGAGAGGTAAGGGGAGGGTGAGCCAGCAGCCCAGTGTCCTAGGAACAGAGCTGAGGGTTTCTTGCAGAAAGGGGGAGCTAGAAGGTGGACGATGCTGATGGGCCAGTTGTAGGCGTGTTGGGCGCAGGGAAACAGAAGCCTGAATGAATTTCAAGCATGAGTGTAACAAGATAAAAAAGCTATGTTGGATTGGCTAAGAGGTTTCTCCACTGAGGAGATCATGTCAATGAGGCAAGTGTTAACTCTCAGTGGCCAGATGAGAGTGGGTGGCCCCAGACATGTAAGGAAGCTACATGGGTTTCTTCCATTTGGGTCCAACATCTTTAAACACTGATGTATTAGATGATTGGGCAGGCAAGAGTCTAGAAATGGTGTCTTCGCGCAACAACAAATTTACTCACATGGTGCCAACTGTGTGCCATTTACACAGTAGGAAAGAACTAAGATGGTTTCGCCTGAAGGGAGGACCTGTGTGGGAGCGCATGTATCCCAGGGGGCTGGGCACCGCAGTGGGTGAGCCAGGTAACACCTGCCACATGTGGAAGGAAAAGAAGCTAGTGAGGCCAGGAGCTGGCAGAATCCCATAAAGAGAGTGGCGACAGTTAAACTAGAGGGCCACACCCAACCTGCCATTTGAGCATTCTAAAGCTGAAAGGACATTTCCAAGTACTTGGCCACTGTCTGAATGTGGGGGATGAGGTCAGAGAAGTCAGCAGTGATTCCAAGGCTTGCAGTCGGGGTGACCAGAAGGATGCGAGTGGCAATGGGGGGAACAAGGAGGCCTCAGGCACAGGCAGCCCTGCTGGTGGTGAGTGCTCAGGCGTGGACCCCTTCAACTTCCTTCTCATGGCTGTACTACAAGGAGAGAGGGAGAGTCAAGACTCAGGAGTGAAGGCTAATAAATCCGTGATGTGCGAACAGGAGGAGCATGGGGTGGGGACTGTCTACAAAATGCAAGCTGTCTCTGCCGCCAGAACACTTACACACTGATCCCAGCCATTCCTCTTTCCCCCAACATGCACACAAATAGTTGAAAATATATTTTTTAAGCTTCTCATGACTACTTTCCCTTAGTTCTGTCATCAGGGCCTTTGTAGCATAATGAGGTCTGTCCTTGCAAGGA